CTTAGGGGGAGTGGGGGGGGCCCCCTTAGCTGCTTCTTTGGGGGTAGGGGGCCCCACAGGGGGGGCCCCCTTAGGAGGTATCTGCTTATTAAGAGGCTGAGCTGTCTTTGCTGCACTGTTCGTTAAAAGAGACGATTTGGATTTAGGCGGAGGCTTCGGTATTGACTTAGAAGGGACAGGAGAAGCTTTAGCCTCAGGGGATTCCATTGTTGCTGCTGCTGCTGCTGCTGCTGCTGCTGCTGCTGCTGCTGCTGATGCTGATGCTGCTGCTGTTGCTGCTGCTGCTGGTGATGCTGATGCTGCTGATGATGAGGAGGAGAAGAAGGAGAAGGAAGGGGGTTAGGAAGAAACTGAAAAGGAAGGGGATTGAGCCGTGTCGTTAGCTGCTAGAGTCAACGGCATTCGTCATTGAAGCAAATCGATGCTGCTGCTGCTGCTGCTGCTGCTGCTGCTGCTGCAGTTAGACCATAGGGAGAGAACCCTGACCTGATGGAAGAAAGGGAGTTGAGTAAAATCGATGAGAGAAGCCCAGTGCTGTTGTTATTGCTGCTGCTGCTGCAGGTGATCTGCGCTGCTGCTGCCCGTGCTGCTGCTGCTGGTGCTGCTGCTGCTGCTGCGGCTGTAGCAGCTATATACACCACAGATGGCGTTAAAAACTGCTGAAAAATCTCCTTATTATGGAAAATAAAGGAGTTAATGTGCCTGAGATAAAAGCAATAGCAATAGCAGTAGCAGCAGCAGCAGCAGCAGCAGCAGCAGCAGCGAGCTACGCGTTGAGGCAAACGATATGCTCCCGTCCTTGCAGGGAAAGATGAAGTTAATTCAATGAAGAAAGAAAAGAAGTTTTAGAAAGTATAATAAAGCAAATAATCAGAAGAAGGAAGAGCAAAAAAGAAAAACAACAGCAGCAGCAGCAGCAGCAGCAGCAGCAGCAGCAAGAGGCCCCGATGCTCGTGCCAGTGGAGCTGCTGCGGTGTATGTACACCTCAATATGTGAAAAGAAGAAGAAAATCTTAAATGAACGAAATAATATTTAAAAAATAATAAATTAATATTAAATTAATATAATTAATATAATTTTTGTCATATTTTTATGCTTTTTGCTGAACAAACATAAACAAATAATTATACCGCTGCTCTTAACTCTGTTTAAGCAGACCCTCCTTTCTCTCTGTATCTCTTCTCTCTACTACTTATTAGTTTATTTAAATATATCTTTTTCAGTATTACTTTTTCTTCTGCAGCTAGCTGTTTCTTTGGGGTCTATTACAGCAAGGGCAGCTGCACATACACCGCAACGCCCTACAAGAATTTTTCATACAGAACGACGCCATACAAATAGCTAGCTAACAGCAAGCTAACAGCTAGCTAACAGCTAGCTAACAGCTATCCAACAGCTAGCTGAAGCAGCTCAACAGCAGCAAGACACACATAGCCACAAGCTTGCATGCAGCTAGCAGCAGCTATGAAGTCTCAGACAGCAGCAACCTAGCAGCAACCTAGCAGCTAGCTAGCAGCTAGCTAACAGCTAGTTAGCAGCTAGACAGCAGCTAGAAAGCAGCTAGCTACTAGCTAGCTAGCTGCTACATCAGGAGAAGGAGACCTTTCTCTCCACCGCTTCGCTCATTGGAGACAAAACTGAGGAGTGCAGCAAACCCTAAACCCTAAACCCTAAACCCTAAAACCCTAGAGAGACTCGAGTGAGAGATGTCTCACGTCTTAGACGCCGCAGCAGCACAACTAAACCCCCTAACCCTAAACGCCCTAAAACCCCAAACCCTAAACCCTAAACCCTAAACCATAAACCCTAACTCTTCGTTGTTGCCTTGCGAAGCCTTTAGCTTCATTCTTTTGTGGGCAGCTCCTCTCACGGTTTGATACTCAGCATGCAGAGAATTGTCTCCGTCTGTCTCTTTCTGTCTCCTACTGTCTCTTTCTGTCTCCTACTGTCTCCTTTTAGGGTTTAGGGTTTAGGGTTTAGCTGCCTTTTTTCAGTCTTGCCGGGGGTTTACACGGGGAGATTAAAAGGAGACTCCCCGGCTGTCTCTTTGTTTATCTTTTTACTGTCTCCTTCTGTCTCTTCTCCTCTCTTTTTATATTTTTGTTTATTTGCTTCTCTCTCTGCTGTCTCTCTCTGCTTCTTTTCGTCTTCATTTGTCTCTAACTGTCTCCTAACCTGTCTCCTTTTGCTTCTTCTGTCTCCTCAACCCTCAACAAGGCCCGCCCTTCATTGCTTCCCAGTACCTTTGCTGCTGCTGCTGCTGTCTCCTTGCCTCTCAGTGCGTTTGCTGCTGCTGCTGCTGCTGCTGCTGCTGCTGCTGCTGCTGCTGCTGCTGCTGTTTCCTCGTTTTTCTGTCTCCTTCTCTTTGTCTCCTTTTTATTTGTTCAATATACCTGTCTCTCTCTGTCTTTATTTAAACCCTCTGAACCCTCAAATGTAGATCCTAAACCCTAAACCCTAAACCCTAAACCCTAACGTCTAGATGCAAACCCTACACCCGCTAGAACTCCATTACTAGCCCCATTTCCTACCCCGCAAACCCTAAACCCTAAACCCTAAACCCTAGCTATCTCAAACGCACAGAGGCCCGACATACCCACGAACCCTAAACCCTAATCCCCAAATTCCCAACCCTAAACCCTAAACCCTAAACCCTAAACCCTAAAGATGCATGGTGGTCTGTTTGTAGCTGGTAATGGATGTGCTGCTGCTGGCTGCAGCAGCTAAGCAGCAAAAGAGATATAAAGTATATCTTCGCATGCATCTGGGGCCCCCTTGCAGCAGCAGCAGCAGCAGCAACCGCAGCAGCAACAGCAGCAGCAGCAGCAACAGGGAGAGGAAGCAGAAGCTGCTGCAGTTTTATTAAAGAAGCTGATGATGTTGCTGCAGCTCAAGAAGGCTTTCACAAGAGGTAAAGCAAGATACACACTTAAAACACCTAGGGTTTAGGGTTTAGGGTTTAGGGTTTAGGGTTTAGGGTTTAGGGTTTTAATCTTGCAACTCAAATTCTAAGCAGACTTTTTGCAGCTAAAACCACAAACCCTAAACAGCATGCGTTTCGCCTGAAAACCTAAACCCTAAACTCTAAACCCTAACTCGTAAACCCTAAACCCTAAACCGTAAACCCTAAACCCTAAACCCTTGTGTCCCGCCAGACCTAATGTTTATGTATATCGGCAAGACAAACCCTAGAAGTAATCAAAAACACAAAATAAAATTGAAAAAATTGATTAGGGTTTAGGGTTTAGGGTTTAGGGTTTAGGGCTTAGGGTTTGTGTCTGCAGCAGCGAAGCCGACAGGGGGCCCCCCGAGGCCCCGTTCGGGCAGCCGAGCACGACGAAGCTAAACCCTAAACCCCAAACCCTAAACCCCAAACCCTAAACCTTAAACCCTAAACCCTAAACACTAAACTTTAAACCCTAAACCCTAAACCCTTAACCCTAAACCCTAAACCCTAGATGCTGCCTGCCTTATTGTCCATACATACGACGAGACTACACTCAAACCCTTCTCACCGGTTCATAACTTAGCTCCAAACCTCAAACCCTAAACCCTAAACCCTAAACCCTAGTTCCTCTACGATAGCCCTTCTAAGAGGGCCGTGGAGGGAGGGTTTCTGCTACTCTGCTGCCTTATTCGCAGCAGCAACAGCAGCAGCAGCAGCAACAACAACAGCAGCAGCAACAACAGCAGCAGCAACAACAGCAGCAGCAACAACAGCAGCAGCAGCAGCAACAGCAGCAGCAGCAGCAGCAGGTTGCTGCTGCAGGCAGCGCTCATTTATATGAGCGATGAGCGCCCGCCGCCAGCAGTCTGCCAACTCCTAAACCCTAAACCCTAAACCCTAAACCCTAAACCCTAAACCCTAAACCCTAGACACTAAATCCAATACCGTAGACGCAAAACCATAAACCCTAGACCGTCAAAACCAACCCCTAATCCCTATCCCGTAAACCCTAAACCCTAAACCCTAAACCCTAAACCCTAAACCCTAAACCCTAAACCCTAGAGCGTATTTTGAATAGGTTGAAGATGGATCCTTACGAAGGTTACTTGCAAGACTTTGAAGAAGAGTTTAGAGAAGAACAGCGTTTATTAAATCGGCAGCCGATTGTGCTGCAGCTAGGCATGCGGTTTATACGACTTGGTATTGCAGGTGTATGTACACCTCACTGCGTGATGGATGCCCCTCTCCTCAATAAGAAAAACAGTCTCTCTTTATCTCTTCTACCTGCTGCTGCTGCTGCTGCAAATGCTGCAAATGCTGCAAATACAACAAAGGCAGCAACTGCAGCAGCAGCCGGAACAGCAGCAGCAACCGGAACAGCAGCAGCAGAAACACCCGAGGCGGGCGAACCAGCTCAAGCAGACAGTAGCAGCAGCAGCAGCAGCAGCAGCACTAGCAGCAGCAGCAGCAGCAGCAGCTGTTGTGTGCGAACGTTTGATATCTTAGACGGCTCTGAGCTGAAGCATAAGCTTGCTGCTTGGCTGCTTGCAGCCTTGAGGGTTTGCTGCAGCCGCAGCATAGGAGAGAGAAGCTTGCTGCTGCTAGAAGGGCCCCTAACCCCTCTTCATTTAAAAACAGAGATTGTTAAGCTGCTGCTCAACTACTTCAAGGCAAACCCTAAACCCTAAACCCTAAACCCTAAACCCTAGACCCTAATGCTTTAATTTTAAACCCTAAATCTAACGCTTAAATCCTATAACTTTAACATTAGGCACTAATGCTTCAACCCTAAACCCTAACATTTAAACACTAAACCCTAACACTTAAACCCTAAACCCTAACACTTAAACCCTAAACCCTAACGCTTAAACCCTAAACCCTAACACTTAAACCCTAAACACTAATACTGGAGAGCCTTTAGTTACATGTATTCCAAATACCCTCAAACCCTTCAGCTATCAAATAGCGATTGACAGCCTCTTCATCCGTTAGGGTTTAGGGTTTAGGCCTTATTGTTTAGGGCCTAGGGTTTAGGGTTTAGGGTTTAGGGTTTTGAATGCAGGTGCCGTCGATATCTTTTCTGTCGGACCTTGTGGCTCCTCTTTACACCTGCGGAGTGGACACTGGCCTTGTGGTGGATGTTGGGTACCCCAAACCCTAAACCCTAAACCCTAAACCCTAAACCCTAAACCCTAAACCCTAGGTCTCACAGGGGGGCTCTTTGTGAGTTTGTTTTCTGCATTTCTCCTTTAAAGCGTGACACCGTGCAAAACTCTGGGGTTTAGGGTTTAGGGTTTAATGTTTTGATCTTAGGGGTTAGGGTTTAGGGTTTAGGGTTTAGGGTTTAGGGTTTGGGGTGTACAGGTTTAGTAGCTGCCGCGTACAGCCAACTTGCTTCGGCACTCCGCTTCCTTGCGCTTTGCGCGTCTCCAACGGTGGTGCTGCTGCTGTGCTGCTGCAGCTGCAGCAGGACCTGATAAGAGCAGCAGCAACGCAGCAGCAGAAAACAGCTGTAAGTATATGTCATACTAGCAGCAGCAGCAGCAGCAGCACTCATAGAAGCAGCAGCAGCAGCAGCTGCTGATGCTGCAGCAGCAGCTGCTGCTGCTGATGTATTTTGTCGCGATGATTGCTGCTAGGTTGCTTCTCCAGCTGCTGAGGCCATCCGAAATTGCTGTTGTTGTTGCTGTTGCTGCTGTTGCTGCTGCTGCTGCTGCTGTTGCTGCTGTTGCTGCTGCTGCAGCTAAACAATATGGAACTTGAGGATTTGGAAGACATGCTCATTAAGGTGGCGTATGTCCGATACGAGCTTGACCAGCCCGAGCAGCAGCAGCAGCAGCAGCAGAAGCAGCAGCAGCAGCAGCAGAAGCAGCAGCAGCAGCAACAGCAGCAGCAGGAGCAGCAGCAGCAGCAGAAGGTGGTCTTTGAGTCTTCGCTGTCGTTAGATTATATTGCAAAAGACGGCACGGTTATAAATGTCCCCCCAGAGTTGCGGTAAGCTTTGCTGCTGTTGCTGCTGCTGCTGC